CCCCAAAACCCCAAAACCCCAAAACCCCAAAACCCCGCAACATCATATATGAGCTATTACATTTTATTTAAGAATTGATTGAAATATAAATTAAACAAATATGTAGAAAACAGGTAACTCATTCACTATTGCTATTTATATGCTTGATTTCTGACACCTTTTAAGTAGAATCGAACATGAATAATCAAGGAATCAATTCAGGAGCTCACTCCGCAACTCTTAAGGGAAAGATCAATGCACTTGAGGTAATTGCCATTAATTTATCAAGCAGCAGGCCAATTAATATCTTGCTTATAGGAGACTATCACTGGAATGAATGAGGAGTTGAATTTTTATAAGAAAGAAATATAAACATTGAGATCAGAGAAGGAGACCCTTGAAGATGTCCTAAACAGAAAAGCAAGTGACATTAGAAAAAACCTAGCTAATGAAGTATTAAGGTATAAAACCACATACATTCTTTTTATTCATGTAAATTAACTGTTATACTATAGAGCTGAGGAAGAAATGAAGAAGAGCTACACAACATAGAAGAATGAAAACAATAAATTGCAGCAATAGATTACTACTCTCAAGACTGAGAAGACCAACCTTCAGTAGCATTTACTTGACTTGCAAAGAAGAGTTGCTGAACTTGAACTACAAATCGGCCAGGAAGACCACTGATCATCATCGAACTATGCTTGCATTCATAACAAGACACTTGATATTTAAATATTTCTATAAATTTGCATTATTATTAAAATATATACTCTACATTATAAATTTATCAATGCAAAAAAGTAAAGCAGCCTCTGAGTTCAATGCATATGTCAAAAGTATTCCCATATAATTTCAATTCAGTTATTATTAGAACTTGGCCTGACTGAAAAGCATGTTTAGGAAAAGTATCTAGGTACTATTTTCACAAAGCAGCAGACTGGGTTTAATCCTGATTCATTTCTTCACAAAGGCAAAGATCTCAAATTGAAAAATCCAACAATTTAGATGGAAGAAGATCCAAATCTGACATTGGTATGTGGATATAACGAATTTGATCCATTCATCAAATTTGGAAGAGATAATTTACTCTTTGTCAAGAGAGAATACCTAGATAAGTAAGATTTAAAATATAATGAAAGTATAGACTTAAAGATGAGACGAGGTATACTGAAGAGTAAATTAAAAACTTAAAGCAGTTATATTGCAATTATGCTGAGATCGGTAAGGGACTCAATCTAAAGAGATTTAGAGGGTTCTTGCAGGCTTTGTTCAACATTGAAAATCATCCCTTTGCGGAAGATTTCTTTTTGTTCTTCGACACAAACAGAGATGGATTGATAGACTTTTATGAGGTAGTAATGGGACTAGACTCAGTAGAGAAAGGGGATTTCGAATAGAAATGCAAATTTTGCTTTGCAATGTATGACATTCTAGAGAATGGTGTATTGGACATCTTCACCTTAAGGGAAGTGCTTAAGAAATCTTATGTGAATTAGATTATTCAACTAGAATCGGCAATATCAAAACTGTCAACTCATAAGACGATAAATCATGATGGTTGGACATTTGATGAATTTGAGTAGGAAGTATTTCCATTTCTGGAAAAATCATTATCTCTGGCATTAGATAGAATGGAATTCCACAAGCAACTCATAAATGAACTGGAATTCAGATTTAATTTCACTTTGGAGTCCTTGGAGCATCTGTGGAATATGTATAGATCAACAATAGATAAAAATGTTTCTGAAAACAGACTTAAAACAGCTGTTGCATTTGCTGCTCATTCTCCTGAGTTAGTTACGAAAGAATAGTTCAAGCTTATTATGCTTGATGTGTTCAAAGTTAAAGATGCTCACTTAGTTAATAATATTTTCGTGATTGCAGACACAGATGGTAATGGAGCTCTTGATATTAGAGAGTTGATTGGAAATATGGTATTTTGGCTGAGAGGTACTCTGGGATATAAATTTGCATTATTCTTCGAAGTATTTGTATCTGTTAATGGAGGTGTTTTCGTTTCGAAAGAAAATCTGATCAAAGTTATAGGAGATGCGCTCAAAGTATTCAAAGAAAGTTTTTTCTTGGCTAAATCGACTGCTGATAGAATGAACACAACTTTGAATGGTTTAATTACTTATGAAGAATTCAACAATTATTGCAAGTCTAATCCTCAAGCTATTGATTTTCTTTGCAGATTAACAATCGGGCCATATCCTTTAAGTGATGAGCTTTCGCAAAGAATGATCGAATTTTAAAAGGCCAAAATGATTGAATACTATCCTTAACTACAGCTGCAATAAGATCCAAATTAGCAAGCTATAATTGATAATTAGAGAACTGCTAGTAGACAAAATCTTAGCAAATCATTTATAGAAAGCAGTAGCAACAATAATTTAAACAGTAACTAATAATAGTTTATGACTCCTAATAAAAAGCTATTGCCCTTAATGCCTCCACCTCAATATTCTGGCAATAACTATTAAATTGTTCCTTTAGAAGATAATAAAAAGAATAGACTTAATAGTCAGCAAGGGCGGTTGAATTTCGCAGGCATGGGCTAATAGTAAATGTTCAATCACATTAGAAGTAATGCTGCTGAATTGAGTAGAATCGGACAAACTCCTGTGAATCCAAATAAAAGATGGATTGTGCGTGATTGAGATCAGCGAATATCATTGTAAGTTTGATTTAGAATGTATATTTATTTTGAATATTTAACCTTAGATATTGCCAGTCGGGGTTTTGGGGTTTTGGGG